AAGCAAAAGCAGAAAGCAGAAAGCAGAAAGCAAAGCAGAAAGCAACTATCTAAAGAGGCCCGGCGGGAGAAGGTGAGTTGGTGGTTTGGGCAGGGGGATCGGCTGTTTATATAGTGCGAGGGAGAGCCGCCAAGAGCCTGAAAGCACGGAGCTTCTTAGTCATGCTTTCGGGGTCGTGCCCAGGTGCTGTCGGGGGAACACCGGGAGATTAAAGTCGTGGTGAGGGTGACTTTTGCAAAGGGAAGGAGCGGGGGAGTGATGTGGTTGGCTGGGAGCGGACGGGGAAGGTACGTGTTGACGGGTCAGTGCGGCAGCAGTTTTGATATGACGTACGAGCAGAGATAGACAGGCTACAGATTGCATTAATGGTGATATTGATTGGAAAGACGGCATGTTAAACTATGATATACTCGCGATGTGATTCTGGCCTACATGTTATGCCCTAGAACTGACGGTTCTTACGCTCCGCAGCACCTCCTTCAGGCGGTGCCAGGCGCTCCAAGTGCCTCCAAGCCAGCAGCTCCACCCACTTCTTGATGATCAGCTCCCAGTTCTCCTTGAGCTCATTGAAGGGCTTGTAGTTATCCAGTGCAGCTGCCAGCACTTCAGCCTCATGTTCCAAATCGATACCGTGCCGAGTGAGCTCGTTCCCGTAGTTCAACTGCGCGTACTCGTGAAGTAATCTATCAAGAAGGGAATGGAGGTCTTCTTCAAGCTCTAACGGGGTAGTCATTAGCTTAAACGTGCCTTTAATTTGAGCGAGGAGCCCGCAGACGAAGGGGTTGCAGGCGAAGCTGGCTAAGAGCGTGTTTGCGGCACGCGCAGTGTAGTGTCCAGCGACGCCGCCGAGGGCTACGGGGTCCAGGAGCTGGTCCTCGAACATAGTGTAGACGTGTTGTAAAATGACTTCAGCCTCCTCGCCTACGAGCGCGATCAGGTTGTTCATGACCTCCGGCTGCTCGCGAATCTTGTCGATGCGCTCCTGTTCGTAGAACTCGTTGTCAAGATGGAGGTTCTGCGCGAGGGGTGTAGGCTGCTCGAAGCCGACAATACGGCGGCATGACGGGTGTGGGCATCGTACGAATTGGTCGTTGACGGCGTGGAAAGTCTTGGTGAGGCAGTCGCGGCAGTGGAAGTCGTCGCTCTCGTGGCAGGGCAGGTCGTAAAGTGGGACGGTGGTTGACTTGCAGGATGCGCAGTTGTCGCCCGTAATACCCATGAGCTGGGGGGCTTCGATGGAGGGAGTGGCCATTGTGTTGCGGATTTCGTGTTGCGGGTTCGACGTGTTGGGCTCGGGTGTTGCGTTTGCGTCAAGATGGCAATGCTGGTCAAGTTCGGACTCGAGTGGATTTCTGAACCATCACAGGGAAAAATTTAGCATGGCCTTATAAATCTCACTTCCCTTGCTTCGATTCAGTGTCGACTTCGGCGTTGATAATGCGACAATGGATGAGACGGCCATTATGCAATCTTCACGACGTCTTTGTTGACTGAGGCCGACCGCCAGCTTACGACGAAAGAGCGTTAGGACAATATTGCCTAGAGAACATTGTGCGGAATATGACAAGAAGAAGCAACGTCGTCGCTGCGTTCAGAGGCTCTGACAAGGCTGCTGGCTGTTCTGGTCATTTCAATATTGGAGACGGCAACATGAGATACGCAGGTGCGAAAGCCGAGCAAATCAAGAATCGGAAGAAGTTGATAGGCAAGAATCATCGACGAAGAAGACAACGCGTTGTGTGGAGAGATAGAGTTGAGAACACAAACCGGATGATATGGTAGAAGTTGCGCGAGGCTACAGAAAGTCTCTACTAGACCGTAGAGGCCATTCGCCATGATTACCATAGTTTGCGGAATTATTAGAGATATAGAACTTGAGGTGGAATGCATGGAGTACGATGGCCGGCTGACGCTGTGCACGACGTGCGGAGGGCGATCACGTGGTTGATGGACAGTCTATCGCGTAGAATTAACTCCAATCGAGTCAACTGCGTGATTGGAGATGCCTGCCATAACGCGCGCTCTTTTCGAAGAGATGTGCGATGCGGATGAAGGTCTGATGTTGGCAACAAATTCCGCGGCTCCTCAGACCCCTGACATGGCAGCCGCGCTAAGATTGGACGAGATAAGTGCGTGACGCCATCGACCTCGGTGTCCGGCATAGCTCCGCGCAGCTGTCTCTTATCTCAACTTCCATCTTGCATGCCTCTGGCCAGGTGTGAAAGAATCCTCTTGTTTGTATATGCAGCTCCCGGCGAGCAATGAGAAGCCAGCGACAATGGCCGACGAAAGCACCCCGCTGATTCAGCGCGTCGATGTCCGACCCCATCGCGACCGATACCCACACCATCGCCTTCGATTCGTATGCACCACTCTGCTGAGCGCGACGATAATCGCTGGAGGGCTTGCTGCCGTCTTCCTTTTCGCCTTTGCGCCACCCACTCAAGACGAAGTAGCCCCTGCATCACGATTCTCGGCATCTTCCTTATCGACCTCACAAATACCCAACGGATGGGCGCGCAAGACGGCCCTGGACTTCGAAGGCCTCAAGGCGGCGCTCTTAGAAACACCCAGTGCTGAAAAGGCAGAAGAATGGAGCAGGTACTACACCAGCGGACCCCATCTCGCTGGAAAGAATCTTAGCCAGGCTCTATGGACCAGAGAAAGATGGCAGGAGTGGGGAGTCGAAAGCACCATTGTCGACTACGACGTCTACATCAACTACCCCAAGGGCCATCGATTGGCACTCATGGAGAAGATTGGCAACAAGGAAGACGCTGCTGAAAGCATGACAAAGCAAGAGTGGAAGGTCAAATACGAAGCGCGACTGGAAGAAGACGTCTTGGACGAGGACAAGTCCAGCCAGCTCGCAGATCGCGTGCCAACCTTCCACGGATACAGCGCCTCTGGCAACGTGACGGCGCCTTACGTATTCGTCAACTACGGAACGTACAGAGACTTTGAGGAGCTACAGGCGGCCAACGTCAGTTTGCAAGGCAAGATCGCATTGGCCAAGTACGGAGGCGTCTTCCGCGGTCTCAAGGTCAAGCGCGCGCAAGAGCTGGGCATGGTTGGTGTTGCCATGTACACCGACCCTGGCGATGATGGAGAGGTCACCGAAAAGAACGGCGTTGCGACATACCCCGATGGACCGGCCAGAGAACCCAGCAGCGTCCAGCGAGGAAGCGTTCAGTTCTTGAGTAAGTCGTTACCCATCATTCTGTCATGCCATGCTAACAATTTACAGGCTTCGCGCCAGGTGACCCTACCACTCCAGGCTATCCCTCGAAACCTGGCTGCCCTCGCCAGCCCGTCGACCACGCGATGCCACACATCCCATCTCTTCCCATCTCCTACCTCGACGCGCTTCCCCTCCTCAAAGCCCTCAATGGCCACGGTCCGAAAGCCTCATCCTTCAACGAGCACTGGCACGGCGGCGGTTTGGACTACAAGGGCGTGGAATACAACATTGGGCCTTCGCCAGACGACCTTGTGCTCAACCTGGTCAACGAGCAGGAGTACGTTACGACGCCCCTGTGGAATGTCATTGGAATCATCAACGGCACCATTCCCGACGAAGTCGTTGTTCTCGGCAACCACCGCGATGCTTGGATTGCTGGCGGCGCAGGAGATCCAAACAGCGGCAGCGCAGCGCTCAACGAGGTTATCAGGAGCTTTGGAGCTGCCATGGAGGCTGGCTGGAAGCCCATGAGAACAATCGTGTTCGCGAGCTGGGATGGAGAGGAGTACGGCTTGGTTGGCAGCACCGAGTGGGTCGAGGAGTACCTGCCCTGGCTCTCTGGTTCCACAGTCGCATATCTGAATGTCGACGTTGCCACAGCAGGCCCGAACTTCAAGCTCTCGGCGGCGCCCTTGATGAGCAGTGTGGTGGAGGAAGTCGGTAAGCTTGCTGTCATGCCCAGTTCATGAGTCTCAACTAATATATACCAGCTCGCATGGTCATGTCCCCGAACCAGACTGTCGCTGGCCAATCTGTCTACGACGTTTGGGACAAGCGCATTGAAACGATGGGCTCTGGCAGCGATTTCACCGCCTTCCAGGATTTCGCCGGCATTCCATGTATTGACATGGGCTTCGGCTTTGACGCCAAGTCAGCAGTCTACCACTATCACAGCAACTACGATTCCTTCGACTGGATGAAGAAGTACGGCGATCCGACCTTCGAATACCATGCCACCATCGCCAAGATGTGGGCACTCGTAGCAGCCAAGCTCGTCGAGACACCCATCCTCCAGCTGAATGCCACAGACTACGCGGTCGGCCTCCAGACCTACGTCGACGCCGTCAAACGAAAGGCCTTCGACGCTGGCCCCCCAAACAACGACTCCAGCGAAGTCTTCCAACCTCTCGATGAAGCCGTCTCCCACTTCCTCTTCGCGTCCATCCTCCACGACGCTACCGCCGCTGATCTCGCAGCGCAATACGAAAACATCGGCGACATTCCCTGGTGGCAGCCCTGGAAGAAGGTGCAACTATACCTCGCCATCCGCGGCATCAACACAAAGTACAAGTACCTAGAGAGGAAGTTCCTGTTCCCGGATGGTCTTGACGGCCGAAGCTGGTTCAAGCACGTCGTCTTCGCACCTGGGAAGTGGACGGGCTATTCTGGTGCCACGTTCCCTGGCATCGTTGAGGCGATTGAGGAGGAGAGTGAAGAGGGCGTTGAGAGGTGGGTTGGCATTGTTAGTAGGGCCATTGGTAGTGCTGCGGACTGGTTGGAGGAGTAGGAGTTGGAGTAGACATTCGCTTTATACCTTCTGTAAGTACGAATACAAGGATGCCAGGACCCTACATGCCGCTCATCATGCTGTGATACGAAGTTTGTAACACGGCGTGAGGCATACATGTGGCTTGGAGATGGGCAGCTGATAGGTGCGTAGGTAGGCTTTAGGTATACACATCACTGGCACGGAGGAGATCAAGATGGCATGATATGGCAAGGAGGACACGATCTATTTAATGTATTCAAGTCGTATGGCCTAGGGCCCAAAGTTTCCGCCCAAGGTCATCTTGTCCCCGAAGGGCAGCCAGCCGGCGAGGGCGCAGCAGGCGAGGACGCGGACGAGGGGCGCGAGGAGGGGGGCCAGGGGGGCTCTATGCTTCTGTTCACATGTTAGCAGTGTTCCAATGAGGTATAGTAGGAGTGTTGTTGATGAAGGAGAGTAGATATGAAGACACTCTGCTGATACAGCTCCAAATGCCGAACTACCAAAACAAGTGAAAGGAATATAACATACGCTGGAAGTTGGCCTCGCGCGCGAGGGTCACCTCGTAGGCGGGGAGGAAGACGGCCAGCGCGCGCCGGCAGAGGCGGATGGTGCGCCGAAGCGCCAGGTCTTCGTCGACACTCCACGTGCCGCACTGCACGTGCCGGCGGCGGGCGGCATGGGCGAACCTGAGCTAAAACTCCTATTAATACTGTATCCTCCTGGATATGATGTTGTATTGTAGAATAGAGCTGTGAATGTGTTGTAGCAGGTAGAAACTTACTTCGCGGCGGGCGAGGTGGATGCCCTCGGCGAGCTCGGAGGAGGAGACGGGCATGTTGGTGGTGATGATTTGGTTTGATTTCTATATATCTACGTTAGCTACATGTAACCAAATACTGCGAATTGAAGCTGAAATAGAAGGTTCAGAAGAATACATACGGATGTGGGTGTGTGTTTGGGTTAAGGAGCAAAAGTCAGTCAGAGACGCGGATTTGTACCTACCTACCTTGCTCCCCCTCCTCACCCTCACACATACGCTTTGGGAAGAGGAGCGGGGGAGCACTTTTCACCGTGAGAAGCGAGAAATTGCACGTCGCGCGGCGAGGAAACAGTGATGGTGCAGGTTTTCTCTTCCTTTGGATTTTCGTCCTTGGTGCGTTCAGTGCCACTTTAGCAGGCTCACCTTCACTTTTGCGGCACATGAGAATTGAGGAAGTTTGAAAGAGTTGCAATCTTGATATCTACGCGAAAAGAACCAGAAGATCTTGTAGGCTGTGGCGTACACAGCGAGTTTCATGCTGCGACCAAGTCCTTCACACAAGCCATCTACCGAATACACCCCAATTGAACTCCCTCACAAGCATCAAGTCCAGCTCCATGTCGTCCTCGCGCTCCATCATACCCCCAACAAACCCCCAGTATAACCGAAATGTAAGCCGCTACTATTGATGCCAAGACCATGATGAGGCTCAAGACACCCCTTGTAGCGCTCACCTCAACTGCCCATCTATGCTTGGAGAGCACGAGGATAAATGAGGTATCTTGATCTTGCGACACGGCCTACCACCGTTCTTATGGAAGAAGTACGATGGACTGTGAACGTGCCGCTGGGAAGTTGGACTACGATGAGCAGCCAGGGAATCTGTTCATTGTGAGTAAAGAGTGGCTGAAATGACGATATCAAATGGAAAGGTGACTTACCTGGCAGGTTAGCTATAACAAAGTTGATATTTAGCCACTAGTTTAAACCTGACCGAGTAGGTTGAGCTCAGTCATGTCTTACTACAAAGGGCAGATGTCGATCACTGTCGAGACCGCCATGTAACTTGCCATAGCAAGTACGGAAAGAACATGGCGGAGACTGTCGAGTGACACCAGAATTTCTTCGGCGCGTGGGTGTGCAGCAACGCCATGGGGAAGGCAGAAGCTACGTGCCCGTGCCGTGCTGATGTGCAAGTACCAGCTTGTGAGGACTGTACTGCTACGCATGCCGAAATGCCTGGTGGCTGATGTGCGTCCTGATCCTTCTCTTTCTGCCTTGTGTGCGCGAGCCGACGTGGCTGAGGTTGCATTCGAGGAGGACAGTGCGGAGGAATCGCGCGCGTTGGTAGTGGTGGCGCCGCCGTCGTAGGCGTGGAGAGACTGCTTGATATACATCTAATTAGCATGGTTCGATGAAATGTTTGCTTGGAGTGGAGGGAGCAGAGAGGCACCAGAGTGGTGACGTAGTTTCTTCAATGAAGAGTTCAGACTGTCAGATACCATTGTGGCGTCACCGCTATCTCATCATCTGCCGATTGCGAACGGGACAGGATGTAGACGTACCGTAGCTGAATCAATCGCGACGTTCGATGCAATTCGCGTTTTGAGGATGGCTTCCGTTCTCTACTTGATCTTTCAGATGTCAGTGAACTTCAACAGCGGAGAGCAGCAGAAAGAGGGGGGCATGTCTCGTCAGAAACGTGAACCAACGATTAGTACCCTCATGTTGAGAAGCAACCCTTGAACGATTCGGGAGTTGGGCGGTTGATCATCTTGCGAGAAAGTGGGAGGTGGATGCGCGCTTACGTACCTGATCTGACCGGTCAAGAAGCAGACGTTACTGAAGTTTTCAGCTGGGCGGGTCGTGTAAACTCACTGCGGTTCTGGGTAGCGGTTAGCAAATGCTCCTTGAGTAACAGAAGAGTGTGTGTGGAAAGTATCGGGGAACGTCAGCTGGAATGAGTACAATGTTGTCATCAATAAACTCAGACGCATTCGGTGGTATCATCATGGTATTGCTAGAGGATGAGGAGAGTTTGACTTACTGTTGTGGTTTCGTGTGCCATCGGAATGAGCAGCAAAAGGACGATTGAATTGCTCTCTTCGTCAGTCTAGACATGGTGACAAGTCAGCGGATGGCAATGGATACAAAAGACGGATGAGGAGGAATGATGGCGTCGCTCAGTTGAGAAGATGAGACAAATTCTTCTTTGAAGCTGCCCAAGAACTCAAAGCTCTACCTAGGTAAGGCTGAATTCCCGTGCGGGTTCTTCGAGATTTTTACACGATACATACGTTTGCATCATCGCGGTAGTGGGTGGGGGTATTTGGAGGGTACTTACCGGCATGAGATGCAACATCTGCGTTGGGACCTCTCTCATCGACTCCAGGGCTTGTCACTTAGGCGAAGAATGTAGACTTGATGGAACAAGACCTGACTGCAGTGAGGAAAGCCGCTCCAGATCTTCACATCGATGATGCTTTCGCGGACCACTGCATGTCGTATGAGAAGAGGAAGTGATGGGCGCCATGTCTAGATGCCACGGAAGGTCAGCGGATATCAGGGAGTAGGAACGAGACATGCGGAGAAAGAAGCCGACGTATCAAAGAAGATTAGTGCTGTCTCTTGGGACAGCTGCTTGAGAGCTCAAGGTTGTTATGCCGAGCTCCTTGCAGCGTTCCTCGACGGTAGTTCGAAGCTACACGAACGATACTAATTGGGTTGATATCATTGCAGGGGATGGTGAGGGTAGTGGGGAGACAGAGCTTACTGATACGAAATATGGAACGGTTGGCAACTGATCCTGTCGACGCGACTTGTCGCAAGGCCAGAGAAGGGTCGGGAGAGCGCAACGTCGCTGCTGCCAGCAAGGTGACAGTAAAGCATCCGGTCTGACAAGACGAATGCAACGGTAGTCTATCCTCTGGAACAGCGTGCTGAAAGCGGAGGACTGCGAAGAGACCAGTTAGCGAATGCCAAAAAGTCTGAGGTAGAATTGAATGGGACGAGCGATGTAATGGTTCAGACTGATCTGGAATCTTCAACATGTCCCCCTCCGGAGAAGCTTGAGAGGCTGCTGGAAGCGACCATCACCTAGCGACCAGATTATATAGGAGGGGAAGGATTGTGAATGGCAGAGAGATAATCATAAAAGTGTAACGAGCGAGCAGCGGAGGGGAACTTACCAATCCGAATGCGCACAAGGCACTCGTATTCTCCAATGTTCGGAAGCGGAGAAGATGGTAGTCTGAGCGGTAGTCCGACGCGACAGCCTGGCGTAGCTCGAGGTCGCCTCGAGAGAGCTTGCACAGAGGGTGTGGGACTAAAAATAGCTGTCAGCATACGATCTTCAAAAGATTTCCGGCGCAATGCGTGGGTATGCTGTCCATCAGAAAGCTAGTTCTATCATCAACTGCGAACCAGCCACAGAGTAGCGGTTCTACATGTCTCAAAAAGTGTAGGGTCTGCCAAAGGCAGGATCATCATCGGCGGCGGGGGTGAGCAAGAAGAGGGGAGGACATACAGAGAGTCAGTACCCAAGCGCCGAGAGGCAAAGTCTGAATGCCAGAAGCTGCTGACTGGAGGTGACGCGCCGCTGGTGTGCGTCGCGGTCGAGTGACTGTTGTCGCTCCCGTGCATGCGGGGGTTGACTCTGCCAGATCAAAGGACCAGGTAGCTATGGAAAAGAGTGACAAAGGTGCTGATAATGTAGAGTGGGTAGAAGAAGATGTAAGGGAGAATGGGATCATGGGGTGCGAGTGTGTTGTGAAAAAAAATGGTGAGTAGGTGGGTAAGGACAAAATTGATCAAGCTTGTTGACGTAGCGACGACAGCACTAAGGCCACGCGTGTTTGCCTGGAGGGAGATTACAAATTGCGCGTCCCCAAAAGTGAAGGAGACCAGAGGAGACGCACTAGCGGTGCAAAAGTCGACAGCATCATGTGCACTGCTAGCTTGATGAAGGTGAGCCGTGAAGGACTTGAACACAAATTGAGATTACGTGTTGCGTACATGGCGAGCTTACTCATGCGAGTACGCGCAATTGCGAGGTGACTTAGAGAATTCTAGGTCGAGGGACTCCCACGTTGCTGGGCTGGACCTATTGTGACTCGACTGGAATTTACATGCTGTATACATGGACCATATTGAAAGCTTCTGGCACAATAGCAATCCATATAGCTCTCTGCTGAAGGTCTGATATCTATTGTTCGAGTTTGTTGCTATTGACGTGTTGCGCGGGCCCCAGTCCTATATCTTCTCCTCGTTGCTGGACTTGACCGAACTCCAGAACCACCAACTCCTCATACCGTAAGTTTTGAATCCCAGTTATCTTTGAGATCGTGCTACGCTGCATGAGTATCATGATAATCAAGGCTGACAATTGCGACAGACTCAACAAAACCTCACCAACAACCCCAAAACCAACCCCACACCACCCAAACCATCACCATATCACAATGGACAACAAGTCAGCCTCCTATTCGCTGGCCCGGATGCACTGGTACTTGGGAGTCGCTGCGCGTGCGCGAGAGGAAGTTCCGGCCAACATGGGCCTGTCAAGGGTCGCGACCAACTTCGCGTACAACTACCTCCAAATGTACTTGAGGAGGATGAACGAGGAGGAGAAGGAGGAGCAAGAGAGGGAGCAGGTTGCTCGCGCTGAGGTAGAGGAGGCCAGGCGCCTGCAGAACGTGAGTGTTCCCATCTTTGTGTGCTTTTGGCTCGTCAATCCAAAGTTGTCACAATGCTGACTTTCTACTTCTAGTTCTGGAATCGTCTTCGTCCCGCCGCCCGCGACCGCGCCTTTCGCCGCGCCTTCCTCCGCACAAAGCTGCAAGGCCGCCGCCGTTAATTCGGCATATATGTTCTGAGAGATCTGGGTTCGGAGCATAGCGAGGGCGCTGGGGCGTTGGTGTAGATACACCACAATAAGACACGATTCTGCACTTTCTCCATCCAATTCTTGTAACATCCTGACGTGACTCAATCCATCGACGTGTTCCAGAGCTTCTGGCAAGATGTGATTTGCGAGCTACTGAGTACTTTGATACTACAAACAGCCCGCCAAAAAG